AGATATTTTGTAATGCTAAAACTGTAAAGTCACTGACTGCGTCCAGACCACTTCATTGAGATGGAGTAAGCTGGATGACTATAGTGTTCTTTTAAGGTACATCAACCATGTGTGTATGTTCTCTGAACTTTGTTTCCCACATACTGTAGTTCTGCTCATCTCCGTCGAAATACAGCCTGTTGTATTGGTTTCCAGCATACCTTCTGGGCCCATAAAGTGTTGCAGTCTGTGTGAGGGATAACCAGTAACCAGGCAAGTGAACATAATAACAGAGGAACACACCAAACGTGTTTAGTGCTTCACTGCTCCACACTCAACAGGGAAAACACGGGTCAACAAATTTATTGTACCACAGACAAAGGAACATATTGAGGGCACTTTAGGATTACATCCCCAACACATACCCTTAGAGTGTAACCAGGACATGTTAAAATTCTAATTACATTTTCAGAATGGTTTATGTGATGTGCCCCATTACCATCAGAGTGCATATTGAGAACTTATATGTTCAGAAAATATTAGGACAATTTACTTCTTTCTACTTCGTTTAAAGGACACTAAAGTCACCCAGATCACTTCATCTAAATGGTGCACTGTCTCTGTTATTTTAACCCTACAATGCAAAACATTGCAGTTTTTTAGTTTTTTTTTGTTGAATCCACCTTTAATGGATGTGGAAGCTCATAAAGAAAACATTGAATACAATGCTTTCCCATGGATGTACATGATGCCGTGCATGCGCCATCAGGTTCCAACGCTCCTTTATGAAGGGGGATGCTTTTGACACTGTTGCACATAGAAGGCTTATCAATAAACTGCAATCTTTAAGTTTGGATTCAAATATTGTTGAATGGGTAAGGCAGTGGCTGAGTAACAGGCAACAGAGGGTTGTAGTTAATGGAATATATTCAAAGCTTGGACTTGTCACCAGTGGGGTACCTCAGGGATCTGTACTTGGACCCATTCCCTTTAATATTTTTATTAGTGATATTGCAGAAGGTCTTGATGGTAAGGTATGTCTTTTTGCTGATGATACTAAGATATGTAACAGGGTTGATGTTCCAGGAGGGATAAGCCAAATGGCAAATGATTTAGGTAAACTAGAAAAATGGTCAAAATTGTGGCAACTGACATTTAATGTGGATAAGTGCAAGATAATGCATCTTGGACGTACAAACCCAAGGGCAGAGTACAGAATATTTGATAGAGTCCTAACCTCAACATATGAGGAAAGGGATTTAGGGGTGATTATTTCTGATGACTTAAAGGTAGGCAGACAATGTAATAGAGCAGCAGAAATGCTAGCAGAATGCTTGGTTGTATAGGAGAGGTATTAGCAGTAGAAAGAGGGAAGTGCTCATGCCATTGTACAGACCTCACTTGGAGTATTGTACACAGTACTGGAGACCGTATCTTCAGAAGGATATTGATACCTTAGAGAGGGTTCAGAGAAGGGCTACTAAACTGGTTCATGGATTGTGTGATAAAACTTACCAGGAAAGGTTAAAGGATCTTAACATGTATAGCTTGGAGGAAAGAGGAGACAGGGGGGATATGATAGAAACATTTAAATATATAAAGGGAATCAACACAGTAAAGGAGGAGACTATATTTAAAAGAAGAAAACTACCACAACAAGAGGACATAGTCTTAAATTAGAGGGACAAAGGTTTAAAAATAATATCAGGAAGTATTACTTTACTGAGAGGGTAGTGGATGCATGGAATAGCCTTCCAGCTGAAGTGGTAGAGGTTAACACAGTAAAGGAGTTTAAGCATGCGTGTGATAGGCATAAGGCTATCCTAACTATAAGATAAGACTAGGGACTAATGAAAGTATTTAGAAAATTGCACAGACTAGATGGGCCGAATGGTTCTTATCTGCCGTCACATTCTATGTTTCTATGTATGACTTGGGACAGAGGCAGGTTTGTATTTCTAATGCGACAGTGTCCCTTTAAGGGTGTGAAAGAGTAAAAAGAATTTAACAAATTAATGATAAAATCATAATTTCTGGATATCTGTTTCGTGTCAGCACGAAGGATATAGTAATAGGTTCATACACAGGGTTGCCGCCTGGCCGGTATTTTAATGGCACAACCGGTATTTCAGGTTTCTGTAATTGAAATTAGAAGCAATACCGCTGCCGGCCAGTAAATGGCACCGTGTCTCTACACTTTGAATCCGCGGGGGACTTGCACAACAGCAGCTCCCAGCCTGCAATCAGCCTGCTGATCAGGTTATTGAGTGGGGGGCCCTAGTAATGGGGGGGGGACATTAGATGGTGCGGGGGCTCTAGTAGTAATGGATGGGGGCGACATGACATGGGGGACTCTTATAGTGAGGGATGTGGGGGACACAAGTAGTGAGGGATGGGGGGACACAAGTTGGGGGACTCTAGTAGTGAGGGATGTGGGGGACACAAGTAGTGAGGGATGGGGGACTCTTGTAGTGAGGGATGGAGGGACTCTAGCTGTGAGGGACACTAAATGGGGGACTCTAGTAGTGAGGGATGGGGGGACACTAGTAGTGAGGGATGGGGGGACATGAGATGGGGGGACTCTAATAGTGAGGGACAGGTGGACATTAGATGGGGGGACTCTAGTAGTGAGGGATGGGGGGACATCTGTACCCATTAACTACAGAAGAGTTTATAACTCATATATATATATATATATATATATATATATATATATATATATTGTGATAAGGTGAATGGGGTGGTCTGTGAGGGGGTCTATATCTCGACAGAATTGTTTAGAGAGGCATATGATTTTTAACCCCAGGGGGAGTATGTATAGTTTGTGTGTGTTACACAAAGCATTGTTTAGTTATGGGCCCCTGGGGTGGAGCATTTGGAGAGCAGGGTGGGCCAGTGCTCCACTCCGCAGCTTAGCGGTTTTCTTGGAAGACTTAGATCCAGCCCAGGGTTTTGGACTGTCTCCAACCTACTGCTCAGCTGTAGGTAATCGGCTGCAGCAAGTGGGAATAAAATCCCTCCCTGCTAGGCAGGTAAGGGAGAATGTTCTTTTTCTCTCTGAAAGGCTGGAAGCAGCAGGCTGGCTAAATACTGGAGTGCTGAGAGTGGACAAAGACTCTAGGTTGGTGAAACCACTATTGTTTTGTTTAGTTTAACCCTGAGAGATAGGGGACCTAATGTCAGTTAGTGCTCAGACGAGCCAGGTTTTTGTTTATAG